GTGGAAAGGGCAAGCGGCATCGCGGAGGGTGCTGAAACTCGTGCTCTGTTGGGCGGGGCGGGGGGGGGGAACGAAGCTTTAAAAGTAAAACGACATCACGCGCGTTCTGGCCAACAGGGGCAGCAGCTACAGCCCTCACAATCCATGAGCACAGCTGCCGCCGCGCCGGTGGCGAGGCATGGCAGCCGCGCCGCGCCGCCCCTCCGCCGCATGTCAACGAGTAAGCGCAGCCGATTGTGCCGCGCAACCTTGGCCGGCCGCCCCCTCACCTTCCGCAGCTGCGCCTCCAGCTGGCCCACGCGCTCCGCATAGGCTGCAACCTGCTCCTCCAGAAACTGAACAGCCACCGGATTCGTGGCCAGCTCCATGCTGCCGCTCACGCCCCAACCTGACCCGCACCCCGCCGCCGCGCCGTGCGCCGCGCCGGGGCCGCCCGCGGCGCGCGCCGCCGCGAGCGGCCCCAGGCGGCTGCCGCCGCGCAGCGGCGGCGCGTTGGAGACCGGGGATTGCCCCGTGGCGGCGCCGCCGCGGAGCCAGCACAGGCCCGCTTGCACAGCTGCCGGCCAGTCGCCAGGGTTGCACGCCTGCGCGCCGCGCGCCTGCTGAGGCAGTGGGGTCCGATGGTAGTGGTAAGGCGTGCGCCCGACCGCAGCAGCTGCGGCGAAGCTCACGTCAGACAGCGCCGGCGACGCGCAGCCTGGTGTCCCCGCCTTGCAGGGCGGTGGCGGCGACGACGCGCGCGGGCCGCCAGGGCTTTCATGGGGCCAGGCACGGGGCGAATCCCGGCTGTCTGGGGCGCCTGGCAATTCATGCTGCGGCTGCGGCGGCGAAGGGATGCTTTGAGAATGACGGCTGGCGCTGCCCTCCATGTGGCAACTATCTGTCGCTGCCCGTGTATGTATCAGAGGAGTGGCCGCCGCGCTGCTGTCGACGGCGGCGGCATCAATGCTTTGGCACAGGGCGCTCCAGAGCGAAGACACGCCGCTGCCGCTGCCCGGCCCATTGAGCGGGGATGCCGCAGCAGCGATATCTCGCTCTTCGCCCTCGCGGCGACCGCCCGCCGCACTGCCACAATGGCTGTCGGTGGCAGCATCAGGGATGAGACGCGAGGACAGTGCCAACGCCCGCGCCGGGCTCCACGCCTGGCTGCTGCTGACAAACAGGCCTGCCCCCGCAGCCGTGGGCGAGGTGCCTTGGTCGCTCGCCGCACCGGGGCTGTCAGGCAGCGCGGCGGGGCTGCCCAGCAGAGGCTCGGGAGGGCTGAGAGGGGGGTCACGCGACACCCATGCCCCTGCGTCTGCGGCGCCGCCACCAGCGTCCTCGGAGCGCTCTGGGGCCGCCGTTTGAGCGGCGGGACTCCGCGCCGGCGGCGGCGCATGCGCAGGCATCCAGGGGTCTGCAGCGGGTGCCGCCCCAGCAGCCGCGGCCGCCCCGCTGGCGGTGCTTGCCTGCAGCTGGGCTGCAGACGCGTCAACAGACAGCAAAAGCAGCAAGTTGCTGCCATGCCCTCTGCCGCCGCTTGCTGCAGCAGCCGGGCTGCCGGTCAGTGGCCCGTTGGCGCGGCCGCGGCATCCGTCCTGCTCACCGCCGCCGCTGCCGCCGCCGCCCTCCTCAGCCCACGGCCATCCCTGACTCTCCGTCCCTGCGCTCGGGCCAGCCGCCTGTGCACCAGCCCCGTGCGCCTCGGCCGAGCTCGCCGCAGCAGCAAACGCAAACGCGCTGCTGCAGCAACTCGCGTTTGATGCATCCACTGACGCAAGCTCCGGCGCAGCGGCCTTTCGCAGAACTTGGCCGGTGCTGCAGCCGTCCAGAGGCGCCTGCGCAAGCGACCCTGCTCCGTCGCGGCCCGCGCTTGCGCGCCCGAGGCCCAGATCGCCGCTCAGATCCAGATCCAGCCTGGGCGCGGGTCCGAGGCTGATGCCCAGATCCGAGCCGGCGATGGACCCGCGCAGCGCCCATTTGCCCGGGTCGCCGAACCAGCTGGCGCGAACAGGCGGCTTCCCATTGAGTCGCTGCTGCTCGAGCCCCGGGGCAACCGCCCCGGCGCACTCTTGCTGCGTCGCCGCGCAGCCGCCGCCTGCGTCGCCGCCGCTCGCCCACAGCGTCCGCAGCCATCCTGCCGACGCGCTCGCCTCCTGTGCCGCCGCAGCGGGCGCTGGCGCGGGCGCCGGCGAGGCGGCAGCAAACGTGGCGCAGCTGTCGGCAGATTCGCTCAGCAGCGCCTGCCACGCGGGCTGGGGAGCCAGCGGCCCGCATCCCCCCTTGGCTTGGTGTGACGCGCCGCATCCGGGCTCCTGCGCCCTGCTGACCCCGTCGCTTTGGCCTCCACGCTGGCCTCTGACTTCGCTCTGCTGCTCGTGCTGCTGCTGCTGCTGCTGCTGGTGGTATCTATCCAATGGGCGTGTCGATGCCATTGGACGCGTGGCCAAAGGGATGTCTGTCATAGTACCAGCAGAAGGAGCAGCAGCGCCAGCAGCAGCAGCAGGTGGTGCCGCCGTCGCCGCAGGAGCAGGCGCCTTAGGCGGCAGCCCAGCAGCGCGCGCCCCGCGCGCATCGCGACGCCCGCGGATGAAAGGTGAGTCCGTGAAAAGCGGGATGCTGTCGTCGACGCCACGGGCGCCGGCCAGCATGGCGGCCGCCGCTGCTCCGACGCCTTTAGGTGGGCAGCGGCCGCCCTGAACGCGAGTGACAGGTGGGCAAAAGGGGCGCGGAGGGTTTGGCACAGCTATGTTTACAAAATGGTGTGCATGTATTCAGAGGGCGGCGGGGCATCCAGCAAGTTTGCGTGTGCTTCCGTCAATCGTCAGGGCCCAACACAGCCGGTCGCCCACCCGGGGGTCTTGTCGGGCCGCAGAGCCGCGAGGGTCATTCTCTTTGCCCAGCTGCGCCGTCATGGCCGCCCCATGCGTGGCGCCCGCGGCCGCGCCGACCGGGGTGCGGCTGAGCAGCAGCGGCGACGCGTCCAGGCCGATCAGGGCGCCGCCATAGAGCGTGTCCCTGCCGCCGCCCGGCGTGCCGGCGGGGCCGCCGCCTCCCC